AAATTATACTGTAAACATGTAGGCAACCTTTCAATAGCTGAACTTTGCTCCATTGATCGGCCAGACATCGCGCTGCCCGTAGCTTCAAACCATTAATTAACTTGACCGAGCCTCAACCCTTCAATTATGCAATATGCGCACAACATGATTACAGTTGCACCTGCAATGAAAGATTATTATGTGCTTATGCTAACACCTGAAATAGAGACCAGCTTCAACAAATGTGTCAATGAAACAACAATAATGATAAATCATAAATGATGCAACAGTAATAATAAGGATTATGAATAGTAACATAGATTATAAAATAATATTTCATCCCGACAAGGGACAGTGAGAGAAGACAATTAAAAAATAAAAATAAAAAAACCACTGGATCACCTGTTGAGTGAGAACAAAATGAAAAAGAAAACAAGGAAAAGGAGAGCAACACAATAAACATTACACCACAGCAATAACCTAGATAACTGTAACTATCACTAAATACTAATACGAAGCACAATGTGCTTTGAGGTAGCAGCAGCCAAGAAAGATATAGTTTATGTCTGTGAGCACCCGTGTATGAATGAGCACGCTTGTATTCAAAAGGTTTCTTCATGTAATAATCTGGTTAGCAGATGGCCGCCTCTCCCTGAGCCTGGTTCTGCCAGAGGTTTCTTCCTGTTAAAAGGGAGATTTTCTTTCCCACTGTTGCTAAAGTGCTTGCTCATAGGGAATCATTTGATTGCTGGGTTTTTCTCTGTATTTATTATTGTAGGGTCTACCTTGAGGCGACTGTTGTTGTGATTTGGCGCTGTATAAATAAAATTGAATTGAAATAGAGGGTGTGGGGAGCCATAGCCTCGTCCCCCAGGGCATAAAGCAGGCATGGAGGAGATCCAGGCCCCAGACATTCAGAGGCCCCCAGAGCATGAGAGCCCAAGGAGGACTATCAGAAGGGCCACCGTGTCAGGCCCCACCAAGCAGCCACCAGGAGTGAGCCAGCACACATCTGAGCGCCCAGCCCCGGAAACCCAGAACCACCAACTTACCGACGTCTGTGGGCATCACTCACTGGCAGGGAGTGTGGTGTGTGTGTGTGTGTGTGTGGGGGGGGGGTTGAGTCTAAGACTCGACCTGACATATTGGCACAGATGAATGGGCACACGCAGACACAAACTTTCCCACCCTTATACACACATGTACTATCACTTGCCCAACATGGAAACAGACATAAATGGACACTATACACACACTTACATTCCCCAAAATACTCTATACCCCAGTTCCAGGTACCACCACCCCTCTGGGGGTGGTGGTACCTCCTCCCAGCCATCACCCCGATGGTAACCAGAGAACGGGGGTGTGAAGATCCCATGCCTGCCTCTGCCGACTGATATGTGGTGTTGCTGTGTGCTGTTCTAAAGTGCATTTGAAACATGGGAGGGGCATGCCCTCCATTGTTTTAAATGCACATTGGGCTTCTTGGGCTCTCGTGTTCTGGGGGCCACTGGATGTCTGGGGCCTTGATCCCACAGAATTTCTGAAAGGGGATTTGCCATACTTGTGAGTAAAAGTAGTTAATGTATTTAAGTCATGGAGGTCATTAACTTCTATGCAGGACCTTTAGTAATGTGCCTTGGTTGATTGTGACTTAGATATAAATGACTTTATATATGTAGGCACCATAGATACAATATTATATCTGATTACTAAACTGAAAAATTGCCACTGATTTCACTGTAAAGTTACTGGAGCCATGGCAGATGTGATATCATTTTACACTCCATCTATGAAAAAAACATTCTTTCTATAATTGGTTTCAGAGTGAAAACGAATTGATTTATTATACATTCCTTTCAAACAGCTTGTTTATTACATGGAAAGAGTGAACTTCACCACTCCATTTGGCGATCAAGTGTCATTTGACGAGAATGGTGATGTAGTACCAATTTATGATGTTATTAACTGGTTGTGGCTCCCTGATGGAAGTACTAAAGTTCAGAATGTGGGTGATGTTAAAAGGACAACTTTCAAAGGTGAAGAACTCATACTTGATGAAGGCAAAATCTTCTGGAACTTTGAATCCAAAATGGTTAGATATGTTTTTATTTGACAAGTACCTTTTATGACATTTACAGTTATATAGAATTGTAGCAGGCAATAAATATTTATTTTTTATGTCCAATAGCCACCTCGATCAGTATGCAGTGAGAGTTGTCCTCCTGGTACCCACATGGTGAGAAGGAAGGCGGAGCCCGAATGCTGTTTTGACTGCATCCCTTGTTCTGAGGGAAAGATCACTAACACAAGCAGTGGGTGTTTATCTTTCTGTATGACATAATTGATTTAATTTCTGTGAAATATAGGATGCATTTCACCATCAACCCCTCTTTGTTAGGCTCCTTGGAGTGCACCAGTTGTCCAGAGGATTTTTGGTCAAACCCACAGCGTGATCTATGCATTCCTAAGAAGACAGAGTTTCTCTCCTATCATGACCCTTTGGGTATTTGTTTGACAGCAACCTCCTTACTGGGAACATTTATATGTGTTGTTGTTCTGGGGATCTTTATCTACCATCGCAGAACACCTATAGTACGTGCCAACAATTCAGAACTTAGTTTCCAGCTATTGTTGTCACTTAAGTTGTGTTTCCTTTGTTCACTTTTGTTCATTGGACGGCCCAGGATGTGGACATGCCAACTCAGGCATGCAGCGTTTGGCATCAGCTTTGTGCTTTGTGTCTCATGCATTCTGGTAAAAACCATGGTTGTTCTGGCTGTGTTCAAAGCCTCCAAGCCAGGAGGGGGAGCCAGTCTGAAGTGGTTTGGTGCTATGCAGCAGAGAGGAACAGTTCTGTTTCTGACATCTATTCAGGCAGCCATCTGCACTACCTGGCTTGTCTCTTCCTCTCCAACTCCACATAAAAACACCCAATACCACAATGACAAGATAGTGTATGAGTGTGCAGTTGGGTCAACTGTTGGTTTTGCAGTGTTATTGGGCTATATTGGCATGCTGGCTGTCCTCAGTTTTTTAATTGCATTCCTGGTGAGGAATCTCCCTGATAGTTTTAATGAGGCCAAGCTCATCACATTCAGCATGCTGATCTTCTGTGCTGTGTGGGTGGCCTTTGTTCCTGCTTACATCAGCTCACCAGGAAATCTTGCAGATGCAGTGGAGGTATTTGCCATTCTTGCTTCAAGTTTTGGACTCTTGATCACACTGTTTGGACCCAAATGTTACATAATCCTGTTGAGACCAGAGATGAACACAAAGAAAGCTGTTATGGCTCGTGGCATTGTGTCATAAAATTTTCAGTTTATGTCAAAAGGATTTTTTTTTTGCACAGTTTAGGCCAAAAATTAAATTAACAAATACAATTAACAAATATTAAATATTAAAGACAGTTATTTAGTCGTCTTTTGGTTGCTGTTCTTTTAAAATGCAGTTTAAATACAAAACAACCACACTTTTCAAAGAGAAGCATTGACTTTTTGACACTCCACTGTAAAATTAACCTATTTACCTCCAAAGACCCAAACTCTTTCACGGCATGCATTTTTAATTTATCTTTGCTATTTGGGCTGATTGGGACCTGATGAATGAAAAACCAAAGAACCAAAGAATTGCCAGATATATATTTTTGACCTGATGTTTGTGTCTGAGAAAAATGAGATCCACATATGAGGACATTTGTTTTAAATTTCAATAGAACAGTGGAAGTATAACGTCCTTACATGTGGAAATCAGGCCCTTGTAGAGCAAAATTTAGTATTTTGGTCTAGACAACCCAAAATGTGATGTCCACATATGTGGACGCTAGGTCCTAGGAGGTTAAGGAAGTTAAATGTAATTGAAATTATTTTAATAAACTAAGCTTTCAAGTTGGATTCATTTAACAGTTTTACTCTATATTCTTGTATTTGGTCTGTCTTGAACTGATGGTGATCAAAACCATGCTGATCATTTCACGAAAACAACTCAGGCAGGACTCAAATACAGGTCTCAACTTTCAAACTTCAGTGCAGATTATTTTCAGTTTAAAATGTGCGACAATCAGAACTTAAGAGTAGTGACAATGCCAGGCTCCCAGACACACAAAGCTCTCCAACAGTTTTCTTAGAAGGTCTCTCCAAAGATACTCTAAAAAGATTCTCATCCAGAGAGTTTATCTCCAAACCAGATTCAGAATACTAGCATACTTTATTAATCCCTAAGGAAATTATGTGGGTTACAGTTTCCCCAAGACAGTAACAGCAACAGTTTAAACAATTTAAACAATGTAATATATTACAGATTTTTACAAATTTAAGAAATAGGACTAATATATACAAATCACTCAATTATAAATAAGAGTTAACAAGAGTTAACAGAGGTGATTTTAAATAAATATCGAGAATATTGACAAGGATATTACAGAGTAGAAAAGAGCATGCACAAAAAGGGTGTAACTATTGCAGTGTTTACAGTATATTAGGTGGAGGAGTTGTACAGGGAGATGGCCACAGGCAGGAATGATTTCCTGCATTGTTCAGTGGTGCTCTTTGGCAATCTCAGTTTCTCACTCAATGTGCTCCTGTGACTATCCAGCATGTCATGGAGTGGGTGGGGGGTATCATCCAGCATTTTCTTTACCTTGGAAAACAGCCACCTCTCAGACACTACTAGGGCTGGGGGCAATATGGCCTAAAATCCATATTGTGATATATTATTTTCTTCTGTGTACCGTATTTTCTGCAGAATAAGGTGCAGTCAAAATCCTTTAATTTTCTCAAAAATCGACAGTGTGTCGTATAATCTGGCGTGCCTTATGTATGAATTCTGGTTGTGCTTACTGACCTCGAACCAATTTTATGTGGTACACACCATTCAAAACACTGTCAAAAAATGTTTTAGTATGACTTTGGTAAACTACAAAGTTGCACCGCTTGATGGATTGTCTGAGCATTACGGCTACCATAGTCAGGAGCCTAATCTGGGTCCAAAACTCTGTCCGCTTCAGGTCCCAAAGTCAAACAAACACTGCAGCATCATTGAGAGGTAAAAACTGTCTAAATTCTTTAATCTTTAATAAAATGGTCAGCGTTGCTGCTTTACCAGGTATAACAATAAAGTTTAACATCCAGGCATTCATGAAAACAGAATTTTTTAAATTTAACAGAGTTAGAAGTTAGCAGGAAGTTACCTCGCTAGTTTCCACCTAAACATGATATGCCATGTTCTGACTGAGAGATTTCTGAAAAAATTAAAACGTACAACTCTGCTATCACTTCCAACATAAATGAATACAGAAAACTAAACAGCAGTGACTTTTTTAGGGTTACTGAAGTTGGGTTAGCTGGTATATAAGGATGTGCTACGTGATTGATAGCAACACAAGTATGTTAGCATAACATAAACAGTGAAGCTGGAGGATGAACGCTAACTTTTTTCCACTCTATAAAAATTATTGGGAGAACAAATGCAATCGCATGGCAGGATGCTGTAAATGGACCAAACTTCAGTCAGGAGAACAACTGAAATAATCCACTTTAGTCATTAATATACTGCAACAATATGGGAATAAAGCAGCTGTGAGAGAATTCAACATTAACCCTTTAAAGCCGGTCGGAGCGGGCACGCTCTGTTTTGTGTAACTATTTTTAAATCCCGGTAGCACTGCAACCACGTAAGCTAGCGCAATAATTTTGTTTTGCATATGAAACCAGAGGAGTTGTACTTACATCTTATGCCATCAGCTTGTCCTAGGTCACGGTTTCCTTCCACATATAGCTTTGTAAAAATTGCATAAAAAGCACTTGCAGCAATAAAAACATAATATTCCAGAAACACGCTTTGCCGATCTGATCAGCCGTTTGTAACACTTCCTACGTCCATCAGCGCGAACTATCGCATGTCCGCCATGTCTTGCCCAAAACCGGAAGTGACGTCATTTTGCGGAAATTTGGTTTTTTACCATCAAGGCCTTATGAGCCTATACTGGTGTTTTTAACTCATTCACTGCCAGCCATTGGCAGTGAATGAGTTAAACCCATTGACTCATTCACTGCAATTGACGGCTATAGACGTCAATGGCAGTGAATGAGTTAAACCCATTGACTCATTCACTGCAATTGACGGCTATAGACGTCAATGGCAGTGAATGAGTTAAAAGTTATGTTTGACTTTATGACTTTCTGTGTTGTTTCTGGGATGCTTAGGACCAGTGCCGTAGCTCCGCAAACGCACATAACGCACACTGCGTAGGGCACCAAATGGCCGGTAGGGCACCAAAAAAATCAGGATCGTAAAAAAAAAAAAGTAAACCATATTAATACTATAAATATCATATGCATTAATATGGTTAAACAATACAAAAGCAACATAAAACAATTTTCCCGAGAAAAGGGGTGAATCTGCTTTGTGCCCTGTCTC